CTTCCATTTAGCTTCGTAAGACCTCCATGTAGAAGGCTTTAAAGCGGAGTCCAATATGTATTGAATGTCCAGATGAAAGGCTGTCGGATTCGATGGCAAAGTAGTCAAAGTGGTGCAGTGCCGTCCCCAGCGGATTCAGAGGTTGCAACTGTATTGGGTTCGAAAGTAGAGTTCGAACCTTTTGAAGTAGTTGTCAGTGTAGACGTAACGAGGACAGCAGTGGATTCGAAGGTCAGATTCGAACCCCTTGGAGTAGTGACTGGCAGAGACGTAGTGAAGTCAGCTATCGGATTCGCCACGCTGTTAGTTTTAATGATAATATATCTGGGTGACGAAGTGTGCCATCTTTCCGGGTTATCAAGAACGGGAGCAGTGGACGATGTAGGTATTCCCCGTGAGAAATGTCCAGCAGTGTGGGAAACCAAGGTTGGTGTGGCCACCAAGGAGTAATTAGTATCCCTGAGGCCCGATCGCAAACAATCTTCACTATGACTCTCATCACCAGCGGAATCGGTGGGAAGGCGTAGAAATTCAGATTGTTCCATGGAATCATGAAGGTGTCCCCTAGGGATTCGTGCCCGATTCCCACTCTTGAGCAGAAAGTCGCACACACCTTGTTCTGTTGTGTGGCGAACAAATCCACGTCGGGGAACCCCCAGCGATGGAAAAGGTCGTCACGTGTCTGGGGGTCCAGTTCCCATTCGTGAGAGATGAGCATGTGCCTGCTGAGAAGATCTGCTTCCATGTTGTCCGTACCGGCCAGATGGACTGCTATTATCGTAATATCTCTCGAAATGTACCAGTCCCAGATCTGCATAGAAAGTCTGGCCAGGGTTGGAGACTTCGTCCCACCTTGCTTGTTCAGATAAACAACGGTGGCAATGTTGTCGGTGGTATGCATTCGATGAACATGGCAAGCGAGTGGTAAGCATTCGATGAACATGGCAAGCGAGAGTCAGTTGTCTGTCCCAAGGGAGGAACGCCTTTTCCAACGTCGAATCCAAGTGGGCTCTGATGAACGTAAGCTTCTGTACCAGAAGGAGAGAAGATTTCTCAGTATTAATGCAAAGGCCCAGGTCGTCCAATAAGGCGCAGGTAATACGGATAGAAGTGAGGAGCGCTTCCCTGGACCTGGAGACTAGGAGCCAGTCGTCGAGGTAAGGATAAACTTGTATGCCCTGGAGGCGTAGATAAGCACAGACAGGGGCCATGCATTTAGTAAACACCCTCAGAGCGGTAGCCAAACCGAAAGGTAGAACCATGAATTTGTAGAAATTGGGGGCAACAGCAAAACGAAGGAAACGTCTATATTTGGGATGGACTGCAATATGAAAATAGGCATCCTTCAAGTCCAATAGGGCGAACAAGTCCTCTTTCCTAAGCAGCGGCAAAATATTTTGGAGGGTGATCATTCGAAACTTCCTCGTCACAATGAATCGATTCAGACCATGTAAGTCCAAAATCGGACGTAGGCCACCGTCCCGTTTGGGAACGGTAAAGTATCTAGAATAGAATCCGTGATGCCCGTCATATTGAGTTACTTGACGAATCGCTCCTTTATGAAGAAGTTGTTGTATTTCATCGAGCAGTACTGGTGTGCAAGATGTAAACCGAATCGGACTCGATGGAGGAACGGTGTTGAATTCTATCCTATAGCCATGCTGTATGATAGATAATACCCATCCATCAGATGTGATGGACTCCCAGATGGGGAGTCGGCTTCGCAGCCGGTCCCCAGATGAGAGAGGGGTGGGTATAGGACAGGGTAGAGGAATGGTTCGCCAGTCCCGTCAACGCTGCCTCCTGTCGTCATATCGGCGACGGCCCTGCTGGTAGCGTTGCTGGGGCTGTTGTCGACGGCGCTGCTGCTGTTGCCTGTGCTGAGGCTGTTGCCTGGGATGATACGGCTGTCTGGAGGGTGGACGGTTCCATGGACACTTACGCCTCGGAAGCGACTGGAGCTCCATTCGTCGGGCCGTCATGTGGGACTCATGAAGTTTTTTAAGTTTATGGTCCGTCTTTGAATGGAAAAGCCCGGACCCGTCGAAGGGCATTTCCTCGATGCGCCGCTTGGTCTCTTTGGGGAAGTTGGTGCTCCTCAGCCACGCATGCCTGCGAAGAGAAATGGCACCGACCAATGCCCTCGAGTTAGTGTCCACATGGTGCCTGGCTGTGGACAACTGTTGCACCGCGACGTGCATCGCCTCCTTAATCAAGACTTTGGCCAATTCACCTTGTTGGTCTGGGAGGGCCGAGACAACGTTGTGGAGGTGTTGCATTATAAAATACTGGTATCTCGCCAACGTCGCCTCGTAGTTTGAGATACGCAGCCCCAAGCCTGAAGCTGCGTAGACCCTCCTGGCCAGGGAGTCGATCTTGCGGCCCTCCTTATCTTGCGGCGCAGTGTGACCCCTTGCCTCTCTTCCCTGGGAGGACTCCACCACGACCGAGTTCGGCTTGGGGTGTCGGAGGAGGAATGGTATGTCCTCCTCCCGAACCCGGTACATGGCTTCATACCTCCGCGATGTTGGTTGAGGGTGAGAGGGCAAGTCCCAGGGCTGGGTCATTGCCTGCCGTAGGGTGGTGATCAAGGGCAGGAAGATGGAGGTGGACTGCTCCCCGCGGATGACGTCATAGATTTTATCTGTAGATGGTCCTGGCCGCTGGACGGCGTCGATGTCCAGGGATTGGACGAGCCTGGACATCAGCTCCGCAAAAGAAATTTGCGATTCGTCCGGTGATGCAGGGCCCTGGGAGGTCACCGCGACGTCAGGAGAAGTAGAATCGATGTCCAAGTCATCGGAGTCCGTGCCGTAGTATGGAGGGGCCGAAGAAGAAGACTCCACTGGCGAAGCAGACTGGCTGCTTTCATCCCGGGGTACCGGGGATGTGCACCTTGGATCCAGAGGCAGCGAGTGATCACGAGAGCATGGTGGGGACTGATCCCTCGGCGCGGGATAGTACCCAGTCAAGTATGGCTCGCCCCAAGATGGGCAGTAGGAGCGACGCCAGTCCTCAAATCGCTCGGATCGCTGATCAGATTGCTGCTCCCTGGAACGACTCCAGCAGGCCCTGGGCGGGGATTTGACGACATCTGCCTCCAGTGTGGCCATAGGCATAGGCATTGGTGACCTAGCCCTGGGGGGAGCATCCTGAATCTCTCCATCAGAGATCAAGCCCTGCTGGAGAGATGGAAGCGGTTTGGTCGGGGGGTCAGCCACACAACGGGGAGACTCTTGAGGGGTAACCCTCATGGCTGCCTGGAGCGCTGGCTCGGGTGGGGTCAGTACAGTGGTTGGTGCTGGTACCGATGCTGCCGTTGAACCCAAGACACGGTGTTGAGGTCGGTCCGGATCCTTCGCCTTTTGGGCCGGCTTAGAGGTCTTCTCTTTCCTGACCTTTTTGGCCGATTTGTCAGCATCGGCGTGCTTGCGCTTCTCGCTCTTCTTTTTGGGAGAAGCTGGTGGGGCCCTCAAAGTAGAGGCACCTTCGTCCAACGGGTGGGAGGGCGGGACCACCGCAGCCGGGCCAGGCTTCGGAGCAGCGACCAGTGGGTCGGACTGCATAAGAGCCTGATCCCACAGGAGCCTCCGGAGGCGGTTCTCCCGATTTTTTCTGGCCTGCTTGGAGAAGGCCAGACAGTAGGAGCACCTGTCAGTCCTATGCCCCTCCCCCAAGCAGAGGAGGCATAGGTCATGCGGGTCAGATGGTGACATCTTCGACCCGCACTCCACACATTTGCGGAAGGCCGCTCGCTGTGCCATCGCAAGAAGAAGAAGGGAGACAGTGAAGAGGGTAAGAATATATTTTTGGGGTTTTTTTTCTTTTAGAAGAAGAAAACAGAACGGTAGAACGATAGAACTGCAGAATAACTAGAGCTAAGAAGAACTGTAGAAATAACTAGAGCTAACAAGAACTATCAGGGATATAAAACTGGGAGTAAAAGGAGAAAAAACAGGCTACAAGTAACGATCAAAGCGATAGTCGAAAGCGGCACGAGGCACAGCGAACGGCGGTCGCAAAGACTGAACAAAATGGCGGACGCTCCGCTCTTTATAGGCTGTGGGGGAGGGGGAGGGGAGCTTTTTCCCGCCAAAATAAACCGTTAGCTTGTAATCTTCCGGCCAAAGGCACTGCGCAGGTGCAGCACCTATATGTGTGATGCACAGAGGCCACGACAAAGAACCCCATCTATATTGCAGTGAGGATTCAAGGAAGATGCAGAGCTCAACACCAGAAAGGTTAAAGCAGGAGTCTGACTAAAGGAAAAGCTTCAGCAAGCGGTTACTGAAGCACTGAAACCATCTCAGATGTGCAGGAACAATTTGAGACAGACTGCTTTACACCCTCTGTTTCTGGATATGAGTGAGGAGCTGGAGCAAAGGTTATGCACATTTGGTCTGAGGGAAAATCTATTGACCAAATGGACTAAAGAGGAAGACTCTTTAAAGTATTAGGGTAAGTGAATATAATTAATGCTGCATAACTAAGAACTGCTTACTTAAACAACCTTACCATTCCATTTGAAAAACAATAACTTATTCTCTCCTGCAAATAATTTCTCAACATACTACTTGATTTTGTTTGTCATATAAAGTTTGTCTCTAATGCCATGCCCATACTTTGGAAGTATAGAATTCCTGTAAGATATAAAGGATTTATTTTAGTGACAATAGTTAAAACTGCTATAGTAAATGGAGCATTTCCTGAGAGGTTTCAGAACACTGTAGCAGGGAGTTCCATAGATTAAACCTCAGTGTTCAGATGAAAGGAAATACAGGTGTGATAGCCATGCTGTTTCTTTACCACAAGAGCAACTTTGGTTAATTTTCCCTGCTAGTTTCAGCTGAAATCAATTCTTACTGATAATAGACAGTAAAGTGAAGTGCTGTTTTGAAGTTGACAAATCAAAAGGAAACAGAAGCCTGCTGAAAACAAATGAATTTGCTCCCGCATGTAACCTAGAGATAAAATCAAAGAGCACAGAATAGGCTGCTGACCTCTTCACTTTCTGTTCAGTCTTTACAAGGTCCTTCGCTGCTTCCTCACCATTTTGCTGCTTCGAGAGAGGAACTGGAAGGAACTGTTTAACACTGGGTTCAGTCTGCTTCAGAAAAACTCTGGTTCTTCTTGCCATCATGTCATCTTTACCTGGATTTTCTAATCCCACTTTCTCTCTTGTCACATTATGTTTGTGTTCATCTTGATCTTCTGAGTCCCCATGCACATCTTCACATGTTCCAGGAGAAATGAGGGATACAGGCAAAGATGTTCTAAGACCAAGCTGTGTTGTGCAAGACTCTGCAGAAGTTCTGCTAAGGCAATTGTGGGCACCATTATTCAGAACACAACTGAAGGTTAAGCAAGGAAACACAGCTGTCCCTATATCTGCACACAACCGCCTGCTCTAGGGCATGAAAATAATCTGAAGGTACATGATGCCATTACAGTGCTAAAGACAAGCACTATATCCTGCAGAAAACATGGAGAATGGCAAGGAACCTCATGTAAGACATGTGGAGTACCTTCAAGGAAATTCCAATAAAGGATTGCTGTTATGAATATAAGATTGAGAGGAACAGGAAAATTATGTAACCCACCTTGAGTTCTTTGAAAAGAAAAAAGGTAGGGCATAAATATAATACATATGAACAATGCTAAAATATCCATTGTGTTTACATTATTCTTGAAAGTAATTTGCTTACCAAAATAATTCTGTTTCCCTTTTTTTTAAAGGAGATTGAACAGAAGCAAACCAGATCATGCCATTAGGTCATGCTAGGTAAAACTTCCAAAGCACTCGAGGCAAGGTTCAATATGGAAATAAAGCTTACAGAACTTTCTAAAAGGTTACCAGTGAAGAATCCACAACTATGAGGTAGCCTATCAGTTTCACACTGTGATGTTAATTATTAAAAGTTTCCCAATCTTAGGACTTCAAATCAAAACTTTCCTGCAATGCAACTTTTTGGCAAATGAGACATGCAAACCTTCCATTAATTTGCTTGCATTCTAGAATGTTAACATATCTGTTTTCTTCTTTAAACAATAGCTGCTAGCTGGTTTTTGTCAGCACAACTTTTAGTTAATCAAAAACTTCCGTTTTTCTTTTCTGTCAAGAAGTACAATAATATTGCATGCGGGTACTATCCCATGCAAAGCAGGCATATGAAGTTAATAATAAGTTGGTTTCCAGTTTCTGACCTTTCTGTTGTCTGTAGAATTTTTTGCTCCCCACAAAAAGCAACCTTTTCTTGCTTTTTCAATGGATGATTATTGACTACTGAAATAGGAGAATAAGATGTACGAACTGGGCTAGCAGATTTCTGAAAAGTTCCAAATCGTCTAGCCAGCATGTCATCTCTCTCAATATCTGGGAAGCTGCCATCCAGCTCTTCTTCACTGCTTTCGTGACATTCACTCAGACTGGTTGGTATTTGCTTCTTAGAATCAGTGCAACTATTCAGGACAGATGAATTATACACATCTATATTCGATGATATTATTTCACTAAGAGTACAAGATGGAAAGGAGGAGAAAAAGCAGTAAAAGGTAATGAGAACCATATGGGAATGCTAAGAGACCTTCACCTATCCACTTTATCATTCAAAATGAACATCTGAATCTTCTAATAGTAGCATCAATATAGAATTCTTGCAATTACAATGGACTGATTAGATAAAGGAAAGCCAAGTGAATGTAAACTTCGGGCTCTGCATATTTAGCTTTGCAAAAAATAGAAATGTTTTTCACAGCACAGAAACAAAAATGCAGTTCACATTTAATCCACACACTTCAATGTGTTCCAGAGGGAGAAAAAGTAAACGTTTTTACCAGCTGTCTTCAGGAGTAGAACAAACTCAGTAATGTACTGCCAGCAGTGAAGTAAGAGCTACACTACCACTTCAGATGTTATGACCTATAACAAACTGTAGGAATGCCCAAAGCCAGCCTGCAGAACCAAGGCCTTTGAGAAACCTTGGCAATACTGATCAGAAAGTATACAACCCACGGTGTGTTGGTCATCTCCTACCTAAGGGAACAAATTACTTCTAGCTTATTCCAAAGAAGGTCACCCATCTTTTGCTTGCTTAGTCATTCTTCCAGCACAGGGCAGATTCATGCAGGAGATCCCAACACTTCTACTAAATTAGAAGAAGCGTGTGGGGGGATGGGGTTTCACAGGTCAGTAGTCTTTGCTTGCACACTGGTGCAAGAACCATATGGCTTGTGGGAACGTGGCATGCTGAATAAGCACGATGGAGCCTTCAGGCAGACATACACTTAAGTCAGGATGGGCTCCTCAAGGCAGAGCAGGCTAGACATTTCTATAAATAATAATGATTTCTGACCATGTTTGCTAATAATAAGCTGCTTGTGGCATGAAATTATTCCTTAGGAAACAAGTTCAATTGAACTTTGTGAGTTGTAGGATGGTACTATTTGCTTAACTGTTTTTTCGTAATATGGCTCTGCCATTTAGCACAAATATGGGGTGGGTAACGCAACTGCAGTAGAACTTTGGCAGGCTGTTCCTAATCTCTCCATGTCCACTGAATCTGTAGGTAAGAAAGGTTAAGTACTCCATCTGCAGATTTTCCCCTGCAAATGGTCCTTGCTTTACCAGTACCAGACAATACACAAGGACAAGAATATTTGCTCCTGTCCTTACTTCCAAAACATATTTAAGGGTTATTAGCAAGGATCAAGTCATTTTATTACAACCTGTAAGGTCTAAATACATAGCTCTGAGTTATGGCCCAGCAAGTTCTTAGCTATGGTTCTATGAGGTGATGTATTAGAAAAGCTGTGTACTTTGGATATTTGATGCTGATAGGATTTAATGCAAACTGGAAAGCAGAGGAATTGCTACATGTACGCACCTGCAACCATTTCCCTTCAATCTGTTTTTGCACCTAATTCTCAAACTGCTCTGTCAAACAAAGGGAGAATGATCTGAAATTGAGATTTCTGAGGTGGGCAGGTGAGAGAAATCTGATGCACACATTACAATGCTCTTACACAGTGTAATGAGCCAGTTCCAGATGGATGTCCCTAGTGCTATTACTCAAACACATCATGGGAGTTATTCTTCCTTTTCCTGCTTAACGGATTTTTGGTGGAAAGTAAAAGGTGGAAGAAGCAGTAGGATAACGAAGAAGGTTGTAAATATAAGGTGTTGCTGTGGGAGTCCAAAGTTATCTGCAGATGAGGCAGAGTAATTTCATGACAAATAAAATCTGGAAGTTTGTATAGTTTACTATGAATGAACTGGATGTTGGTGTACCCAACATGCTTGTTCCCACACTAGTATACTTGTTACTTCCATGGCTGCTAAACTAAATTGGCCTCTAAGTGCTTAGCCTTTAATGCAAACCACAGATCCTGGTTTATCACTCAAAAGCAAGCCAGGATTCATAAACAAGATCAACCCCCATTTATGATTCAGGTTTGTAGTAGGAGTGACAAGCCAGGAAACCCAGTTCAGAAAACATGCTAAACTTTCCAACTCTACTCGGTTTAGCAGTTGTGTTACTGGGGCATAACAAAATAGGAATAAGCTGCATGTTGCAGTACACAGCCCTTCCATGATAATGACTGATCTGTGCAAACAGGGCCAAAATGAATATTAGCTCTCTGAATCTCTGAATGTTAGCTGTTGTACCTTCCACTGGCCTACTTCTGTCCCTCTTCTAGATTAAGGAACTAAATACCTGGAATTAGCATGTGGGCTGCAGACTTCATCGGTATGGCCAACGGACTCCACATGGCTCACAGAGGGTGAGGATGCGTATTCACTTGAGGTCCCAAGAGGCCCAGCACTTTTCCTACTGGCTGTCTCTTCCATTTCGTCTTTGGTCATGGCCCTAGCATTGGAGGGCTTCTCCCATTTCTGATGATCAATTTCTGTCACTGGCCCAAAGTGTACAAACCTCTGTTTAGGGCTGCTGGACTTTTTACACATTCCCACTTTGTGACTTGCATCATTACTGTGATCAGCAGGTTCTGCTGCCATTTCAGAAGACAGAAAAGAGTCTTGGGGGTCTGTGAGCTCCTCATCACTAACAAGGAAGATGTAAACAAACAAGCAAAAAAACATATAAAAAGAAAACTAAGAGAAAGCAAACAAACCAAAGATTTAATTAAGTGACCAAGAAAAAAGCAACAACCACCAAAGGAGGAAATGGGGGGAAAGTCACGATCCAATCAAGAAAAAGTTCGTACAATATGGAGGAAATCATCCTGTGTGAGGCTGCAAACACAAGATTTAAAAGAAAATAAAAGAACACTTAGCCAAACTGTATTCAGAAGATGACATGCACAGATCAAACAACAGCTTGGTGCCAAATAGTGCCACAATGTCTCTTAGAAATCAGAAGACTACATTTACAAATGGCAAGTAAATGTTCTGGCAGCTTTTTAAAATGCTCTGTGCCCGCAGTCCTTTCATTGACCATGATAACAAGTTATCGTCTAGCCATGAATGATTCAATGTTCCCAAGTAATGCTGAACAGAGCGAACAAGGCCTGTTGCAACAGCTGCTTCCTGCATGAGAATGCCAAGAAGAGGGAAGTCCAAAATGGAAAAATGAATCTGCAATGTCAAGGGGAAGAGACATGTTTCATTCAAAGCCTAGAATCCTAAGACTTATGATAAGGGATATTCCTGGTTCCTGTACAGATGTGATCAAAAGAATGGCACAAAAGTCAGACCATGACGCTATTCTTAGCTGTGGGAAACCCCCCTCAAAAGAAAAGAAAAAAAAAAACAAAACAGCACTTCTCTTACTTGCTTGGGGAAGGAGGAACATGCCTCAGTCATCACGGAAGCATGAAGACCATGCACACAGATAACTAGGAGAAAAAGATTAGTTTAAAAAGAGGCTGGTGGATTATTTCTGGACCTTAGCACCTAAGACTACGAATTTTCTGCATGCAGTACTTCTGTACTGGAAGTAACAGGTAAAAGCCCTGAGTACTGGTATTTGAACATAAAAAGTCTCTGGGAGCAGTATATAACTTTACTCTCTTTCTTTAATGAAAACCTTACCTGTTCATCCCTGAAACTTTCAGTCGGTCCCAGGTTTCCTTATCTGCTTGTGTTATAGAAGCTTTCACAAAAATTGGCCAGTCTGGTTGAGAATGGCTAGACTGGATTTTTCTCTTAGCCAGGTCATCTCTTTCAATGTCAGGAACTTTTGTTCGGCCCTTCTCATCAAGTTCAAACTCCCGAGTCTGCAGAAATGGCTTCTCTTCATGTAACGCCACTGATCCCACCGAAGTCACATTTACTTTCTTGTCACTAATGTAATGCACATTCCAAAATCAGCAGGATAAAGAATAATGTGGGAGTAGATATGGAAAAATGCAACTAGCAGCATCCAATGCAAAAAGTATACACTGCCATGTTAAATAAGAATAAATTACTTTGGAGTAGAGGGAAAGCCAGAATCTACTGCTGCACTTGCAGCAAAGAAGAGGCTGGAATGCTCCATTTTGAGATGCCCCCCTTTCACTTGTTTGTGTTTTACCAGTGCTGGCAACAACAGGATATTGAAAGCTCTCAGGCAAGACACCCGTTGTGGGTACCCCCTAACCTGGAAGAGGCAGAAGTGCAAAACAAGAATCCTCTCACATTGCCTCTAGCTTCTTTGAGTGTTCCCTGCAAGGTACGATGTGGTGTTGCCAGACTACCCTCTAATAGTCTTGGATACTGGCAAATTTACCATGATTATTAGGTTGATCTTTTATTTTGGAAAACAGTAGAGCATTTACCTACATCTGCACTGAGATAAATGATGGAAATGGACACCAGTCTGGCTATGTGGATATCTAAAAGGACAGCTAGTGGATGTTTTAACATCCTAAAGTTAGCACTCAGCAAAATTCTACCATCGGCCGCTGCTTACCATTGGCCGCCGCTGGCCATTTTCTGTTAGACACCAAAGATGATTTCATTCCCAAGTGAGTTTATTCAAGTTTGGCATATCTACCCAGTTGCTTCTCCAAAGAAAGAAAAGCGCGGCATTGCAAAAGAAAAGTGTGGAAAGCAGCTTCTCTCAAGCCCAGAAACCACCATGTTTTTCAACATATTCCCATGTGTTGCATCATCCGTGCCATCCCCACAATTCAAACCAGAGCTCAACATAGCTCTTGTAAAGTCGAATTCCTGTCTACCCCACAGCATATTCCAAACTGATTAAGAGCCTCAGTTTCCATTACTCTTAAAAATGAATAAGTTCCAAGCCAATATTATTGACCTGGTGGAACATGTCTCAGCAGGGCCAGTATTTTCTACAACTCACAGGTCTGTTTTAGAAAATATGCAAGTCATAAAACTATGTTCCATTTTTCCCCATCCTGACTGCAGCTAAAGAGAAGAACAATTGCTAAATCCTTCCTCACTGGAAAAATTGGTAGGAGATAAAGAGCCAAAAGGAAAAGAAACATATAGGTATTTGTAGGAAGCAAAAGAGTAAAGCATTTTCCCTTCCACTGCTCTTCTGCTTCTGTTTGCTGCCTCTGACACTGCTTTTTAGTTGAAAATGACAAAAATAAAATATTGAGAAACTATCACAGTCTTCCTTTCACAGAAATTGTGGAAGACTTTACCTTTCAAAAACAGCCCAAAAGCAGTGCCTGTCAAAATGAGACTTAACTGGTCTTTTACACTTTCTATTCACCTGCCAAATGTAACTAATACAGGTTTTTTCCACAACCTTCTTTGAAGGCAGCATGTTTGCCAAAGGGACTTTGGAGATGGCAATAAGGACTTCACTGAATGAGGTGTTTATCCTGCAGCTTTACTGAGGCTTCTTCCATCTTCATTGCAGGGGGAAAAACACATTCTTTCCCCCTAGGGCTTTTTCTATCTTCCAGCTTTATTGAAAAACAAGGTGGCATCAAGGTATAGCACCATTGAGAAAAATACACAGCCATTTTCCGTTGCTACCTAACACCATGGGAAATAATACTGCACATTTATCACTCCAAAAATACAGGCGGTGCCAAAATATATACATACACGTTTCAAGAGATGTTATCTATGTATTACTTTTCAAAGTTGAATTGAATTACAGTAGCAATGTACAGTATAGCATTCACTCAAAAGATGGCGTTAATCAAATGAATGCTAGCATCACCATGTGAGAGTTTTTAATACAGTTTTTCCTTTCTTAAAGTGTGCATACATTTTTTGGCACCCTCCGTAGATGTGAAAATGGCTGGAAAACGGGAATGGCCCTGGAGAATAACAGTTTGGTGAAACTGATCCACAAATTTCTATGACCAGGATAACATGAGCACACAATAAATGTCTCATGTAGGGAAGACTAAGTCTATACTTGTGAACCTATCAGAAGATGAGTACTTTCCACTGAAGTACCAATGTTTTTATGTTATATTTTATAGCTGAGGTCAAAACATTAGCTTAATTGACAGGAGATGGATAAAGCCTCATTCCCTGTGTACTTACAACCAGAACTCATGAAGGGAAATTCAACACCTCATGAATTCCTTGCAGTTTGATGCGACTGAACACACCACCACTATGGCCATGTTTTGCCACTAGGGGCCTTTTCAGATGCAAGTGCAAATATCCAGGAGAAAGAACTAAATGCCTTATGATGATTTCAATTCTGTTTACAGGGCCACTATGTGAGAATAGTATTAGAAGACTACTGCTTGCCCCCCTGGCATTTATGCTGTAGGGTCCTACAGTGTTCTCGCCTGCCTTACATGCTGTTAACATCTATCTACAACCTCTGGGAGCTGCCTAGAGTTTTAAGGCACAGAATCAATTGTAGAGGATACCCAGCTCTGTCTTGCAATTGAACTGAATCAGGAGGAGCTGTGCCAATTCTGGACCAAAATCTGGAAGCAATAATAGAGTGAATAAAGGCCTATATGCAGAAGTGAATGTCCAAAAAGCAGAGGATCTGTGAATCAGTGGCTCTCCAATCCAGGAATGACAGATGCAGCTGATGCTGGATGGAATCATAGCATCCTGCATTAACTGCCTCCTGAAGCAGTGGGTGTGTAGTTTGGGGGTATTTTGTGATTGGCACAGAGGCTCCTCCATAGCCAGGTTCAATTGGTTTGCCACAATATACATGGGGATACCCTTGAAGGTAGTCCAGAAGCTGCAGCTGGTGCAGAAAGCTGTGTCTTGGCTGTTGACGGGGACAACATGAAGAGATCTTATGACCCCACTCCTGAATGCACTGTGCTGACTGCCAAGCCCAATTCAAGATCCTTTCTTTTGGCATAGAGAGCCCTAAAAGTCTTTGGAACCAGGCATGTGAAGGAACACTTCTCGCTTCACCAGCTGGCCTATGTCGTATGATCAGGACCAGATGTCTTGCTTGTTCTCCTGCCAATAACAGAGGCTAGGCAGGTGGTGGCATGAGACAGCAACAGCATCCTGTAACTCCTTCCCAGGTAATATTAGGATTACGCCCACAGTTCAATTAGTCAAGGAAAATGAAAGACTTTTTATTGTTTAGGCCCTCGTACTCCAATGTAAAGTTGGACAGTTCTAGTGAGACTTATCATTGCATTTTAGTGCATGTTGAATTTAAGGATGGAAATATTGTGTTTACATTAGGTGGTGGTGGTTTTGGTTCAGTGTTAGCTATCCTGTTTTCCAGAACTGGAGGAACGGTGGGGTAAAAACATATTGAATGACCGAGTAATTTTAGTTAACCATCTAGTATTTTTGAACTACACCCAATAATACAGAAGCAAGTAGATAAGCACACCTTGTACACTGCTGCTTTTTCTTTTGTTTCTTCCATTCTTCCACTTTACCTCGATCTTTGTTTGTATAGGATCCAAAAAAGAACTGGTTAAATGGCAATGTAAGTTTGGGTTGATTGAGTCTTGCTCTGCGTACAGCAAAGTCATCTTTCTCTAGGTCAGGAATTCTGTCATCCCTTTCATCTTCAGAGCCAGAATCCTTCCGTTGATAGCACAACATAAAGGGGTTTTCTTTGCGGAGGATGATATCCGGAGTTAGCTCATTCATTTCACACATGTGCTTTTGACTGATACATGGCAAAGTTAAATGGGAAATCCAGATGTTGAAATGGAGAAAGACAACATAATTCTCCATATTTTTTTAAAAA